CTGGCTTTATAGAAAGAATTTGGGAGGATTCACTCCTTTTTTTTTTTTTCTTTTAAAGATTTATTTATTTATTTTTAAGTCAGTCACACAGAGAGAGAGGAAGAGGCAGAGAGAGAGAGAGAGAGAGAGAGAGAGAGAGAGAGAGAGAGGTCTTCCATTCACTGGTTCACTCCCCAACTGGCCAGAACATTCAGAGCTGCACTGATCCAAAGCCAGGAACCAGGAGCTTCTTCCGAGTCTCCCATGCAGGTGCAGGGGCCTAAGGACTTGGGTCACCTTCCACTGCTTTCCCAGGCCATAGCAAAGAGCTTGATTGGAAGTGGAGCAGCCGGAACTCAAACTGGCGCCCATATGGAATGCCAGCACTGCAGGCGGCATCTTTATCCACTACGCCACAGCGCCGGTCCCTCACTGCTTTTCAATTGTTTTGAGTAACTTGAGAAATTGTAATTAGCAATACTTTAAATGTCTCATAAAATTCAGCAGTGAAGCCATCCAGTCCTGGGCTTTTCTTTGTTGGAGATGTTCTTTATTACTAATTCAATTTCTGTTGTGTTTTTGGGTCAATTTATGTTTTCTATGTCTTTTATGGCTCAATTTAGGTAGGTTGTATGTGTCCATGAATCTATCCACTTCTAGGTTTTTCCAGTTTGTTGGCATACAGCTTTTTGTAGTAATTTCTGATGATTCTTTTTATTTCTGTGGTATCTGTCGTTACATTTCCATTTTCACCTCTCATTTTATTGACTTTGGGTCTCCTTTCAACTTTTTGTTGTTGTTGTTATTTGGGCTAATGGTACGTCAATTTTGTTTATTTTTTTCAAACAACCAGCTCTTCCTTTTGCTGATCTTTTGTATTTTTTTGTTTCAATTTTGTTGATTTCTTCTCTAATTTTAATTATTTCCTTTCTCCTTCTAGTGTTGGGTTTGCTTTCTGTTGTTTTTCTACATCCTTGAGATGCATTGATAGCTCATTTATTTGGAACTTTTCCAATTGCTTGATGTAGGGACCAACTGGTATAAGCTTTCCCCTTAACACTGCCTTTGACATATCCCATGGGTTTTGATATGTTGTGCTATTTTTTGTTTCCAGAAATTTTTAATTTCTCTTGATTTATTCTATAACCTAATGTTCATTCAGTAGCATGTTGTTCAGTCTCCATGTATTTGCATATCTTCTAGAGATTCCTGAGTTGCTGATTTCCAGCTTCATTTCATTGTGGTCTGAGAAGATGCATGGTATGATTTTGATTTTTTTGAATCTGCTGAGACTTGCTTTATGGCCTAGTATGTGGTCAATCCTAGAGAAAGTTCCATGCACTGCTGAGAAGAATGTGTATTCTGCAACTGTAGGATGAGAAGTTCTGTAGATATCTGTTAGAGATCGATTTGGACTATAGTGTTGATTAATTCTGCTACTTCCTTGCTGATTTTTCGTCTGGTTGACCTCTCCACTGCTGAAAGTGGGGTCTTGAAGTCTCCCATTACTATTGTATTTGGGTCTATGTCTTCCATTAGATCCCGTACCATTAATTTTAAATAGCCAGGTGCTCTGTAATTAGGTACATATACTTTTTTTAAAAATTTTTATTTATTTATTTGAATGTCAGAGTTACACAGAGAAAGAAGTTGAGGCAGAGGGAGAGAAAGAGAGGTCTTCCATCTGCTGGTTCTCTGCCCAATTGGCAGCAATGGCTGGAGCTGCACCAATCCGAAGCCAGGAGCCAGAAGCCTCTGGGTCTCTCACGCAGGTGCAGTGGTCCAAGGACTTGGGATATCTTCCACTGCTTTCCCAAGCAATAGCAGAGAGCTGGATTGGAAGAAGAGCAGCCCAGACTAGAACTGGTGCCCATATGGGATGCTGGCGCCGCAGGTGGCAGCTTTACCCACTATGCCACAGCACCAGCCACAGGTCCACATACTTTTATAACAGTGACATCTCCTGTTCAGTTGATGCCTTAATCATTACATAGTACCCTTCTTTGTCTCTTTTACCAATTTTTGTGTTAAAGTCTATTTTGTCTGATATTAGGATGGCTACACCAGCTCTTGTTTGGTTTCTGTTAGCATGGAATATCTTTTTCCATCCTTTCATTTTTAGCCTGTGTATATCTTTGTTGGTGAGATGTATTTCTTTTAGGCAGCAAATAGATAAGTTTTGTTTTTTAGTCCACTCATCCAGTCTGTGTCTCTTAAGTGGAGAGTTGAGGACATTTACATTCAAGGAGTCTGTTAAGAAGTTATGACTTCGCCCTGGCATTTTCCCTTAAATATTCCTATTTTTTTTTTACTTTGGGTTTCCTCTGTACTTCTACTGGGAGATTTCCTTCCTTTACTTTCTTTTGTATTGATGACCATTTTTCTGTGTTTCTGTGTGCAGCACATCCTTAAGAATCTTCTGCAGTGCTAGAAGGGTGGTGAAAATTCTTTCAATGTCTATTTGTTATGGAAGGTCTTTATTTCACCTTTATTCATAAATGAGAGCTTTGCAGGGTACAGTATTCTGAGTTGACAGGTTTTTTTCTCTTAAGACTTGTACTATGTCTCGCCATTCTCTTCTAGCCTTTGGGATTTCTGATGAAAAATCAGCTGTAAGTATAATTGGAGATCCTCTGAAACTAATCTGGCATTTCTATAATGCACATTTTAGAATTGCTTCTTTATGTCTTACTGTGGAGAGTTTGATTACAATGTGTCATGGCAAAGATCTTTTCTGGTCATGTCTATTAGGGGTTTCTGTGTGCTTTCTGTACTTGGATGTCCCTTTCTTTCTCCAAATTAGGGAAATTTTTTGTTATTATTTCACTAAAAGGCCTTCTAATCCTTTCTATCCTTTCACGCCTTTGGGAACTCCTAGAACTCATATGTTGGGTCATTTGGTAATATCCTATAGACAATCAACAGTGTTTTATAGTTTTCTAATTTTTTTTTCTAGTTTTTGGTTTGACTGTATAATTTCCTGGGCTTTGTCTTCTAGGTCAGATATTCTTTCTTCTGCTTCACTGATTCTGTTGTTTAGGTTTTCCACTGCATTTTTTATTTGTTCTATTGAATTCTTCACTACAATTTGATTTCTCTTTAAGATCTCAATTTTGTGAGAGAAATTTCATGTCATGTATGGATTTCAGTAGTTCATGAATTTGCTTCTGATTACTTCTATGTAATCTTTTTTTTTTTGACAGGCAGAGTGGACAGTGAGAGAGAGAGACAGAGAGAAAGGTCTTCCTCTGCCGTTGGTTCACCCTCCAATGGCCACCACGGCCGGCGACCGCACTGATCCGATGGCAGGAGCCAGGTACTTATCCTAGTCTCCCATGGGGTGCAGGGCCCAAGCACTTGGGGCCATCCTCCACTGCACTCCTTGGCCACAACAGAGAGCTGGCCTGGAAGAGGGGCAACCGGGACAGAATCTGGCACCCCGACCAGGACTAGAACCCGGTGTGCCGGCGCCGCAAGGCGGAGGATTAGCCTAGTGAGCCACGGCGCCAGCCACTTCTATGTAATCTTAAGATCAATTTTTTGCTGGCACCGCGGCTCACTAGGCTAATCCTCCACCTTGTGGCGCCAGCACACCAGGTTCTAGTCCCGGTCGGGGTGCCGGATTCTGTCCCGGTTGCCCCTCTTCCAGGCCAGCTCTCTGCTGTGGCCCGGGAGTGCAGTGGAGGATGGCCCAAGTCCTTGGGCCCTGCACCTGCATGGGAGACCAGGAGAAGTACCTGGCTCCTGCCATCAGATCAGCGCGGTGCGCCGGCCGCAATGTCCATTGGAGGGTGAACCAACGGCAAAGGAAGACCTTTCTCTCTGTCTCTCTCTCTCACTGTCCACTCTGCCTGTCAAAAAAAAAAAAAAAAAAAAAAAGATCAATTTTTTAATTTCCATTTCTGGCATTTTTTCAATCTCATCACCTTCACAATCTAATACTGAAGTGTTGTGTTCTTTTGGGGACATCACGTTGTCTTCTTTATTTTTGTTTGTTGAATTGGTACATTTGTTGTTTGCCAAGGAGATACTCCCCCCACCCCACCCCACCCCCATTGTGGAGGTTTCATCTTTGTACTATGCCTCTGTGGATTAGTGGAGTATCTGCTTTCAGTGAATATCTAGAGGTCGTGTAAGTTGTGGCGAGGGATCTCTGTTTAGCTCTCTGGAGTGAAGGGTATGTCTGAGGTGACACACCCAGCTTTGGCATAGTAAAATCTCTCTCTTTTTTTTTTAAATAAGAGGGGAGGTTTATTCTACCCAGCTGAGCTCCTCTCCTCAAAGGAGACCAGTGCCCTAGCACTAGCCCCAGTGGGTATAATATTCGTCTGCTCCACAAGGACCACACAATAAAAATTTAGTGTAGCAAGGTAAAACCATTATGTATCTATCCATTAAAAAATATACTAGACCAGTATTCCCTTACAAAGTTATTTATAATGGATGCCAAATACATTTGTACTTCCTGTTCATAACAACAAGATATCAGGCCTCATTCTTATTAAATTTTATCAAAATTTTAAGATAAAAATAAAGAATAGAATTAGGTTCAAAATCAAACTCATCTATTTTTCTATTACAACTTTAAGTAATAAATAAATTCTGAAGAGTACAATAGCAGACTAAGAACTGAGGAGGAGTCAGGCATAGCTTTTGCTGCTTTGATTAAGGTTAACAGAGCTTATTTTTTCTTAAAAAGTTTTCCTGCTAGTAATTCTGCAATACACAACTGCCAAGGTAAATGCATGAGGATGACTAAATATTTATCTGTTTCTGAACTGGGGTCAACAACATTATTTAATGTATCTTTCATCGAAGACACAAAAGACTCTTTAACAAAAGCATAAGAAAATTCACACCATCTAACCTTTATTTTAGAGAAAAATAATTAAAGTATGAACAGGTTCCATTATTTAAATACACCAAAAAACAAAGAACTAGATATTCAGGATTGTAAATTATGGTTATTATATCTAAAAACTTCAGAATATTCAGTCCACAAATAAAGATTTAAAACATACCTGTCATCCAAAACAATAATGATTTCACCATGTTTAAAGGTGAGTTCATTGTCCTCAACGGCTTCAAAATCATATAAGGCTCTCACTTTCCGTGCAACCTTATTATTTAACTGAATTTCTGCAGCTGGATACAAGGATTTTGTCTCTGTGTGTTGCTGCTTCTGTTCTTGCAATGATAATTCAATAGCTGGTTTTAAAAATTAAATTGCAAATTAAAAAGAAACATTTGCTGATAATATTTAATAAGAATACATAATGTAAATATTTTATTTGTCCAGTAACTGCTAAACAGTTAACTTCTTGGGAGAAGGGACGAGAAACCATATTTTTAAAGTAATGTTTTTGCTCATTCCTCATTATCACAGTCTGTCATATACAGCAGCTATTATTTTTATAACAAACAGATTGTGACATTATAGTATGGGTAACTTTCCATATAGGACAAGTCGTGAACATATTTTTGTGCTTGACTCATAACTTTGGCATTAAAGAAAAGGTGAAATGTAATCTCCCCAAAGGTAGGACATTATTGGAAAGGAAAATGAATTAAATTCATCTTATATCATTTGTTTTCCTACTTTTCAGATCTTACTACTCTTAGATGGGGTATACCCCAATCATTTTATAATTTTATTTCAAGAAAAAGCCCTGGCCAGAATATTTTTGGCAATATTATATCAATGTGTTTGATCATTTACCTTTAGCTATGTCTTCATCTTCTCTGGTTTTGTCTGATGACGTACCATTCTTGGCAGCAGCTGAGGAAGTCTATAAATGTAAGAGTAAAATGATCACAACTATCCTTTCAAAGAAAACACAAGCTCTATAATTACTTGCTGATGCTAATTTTTAAAAATACTGATATAACTGAGTTTCATTTAAAAGTTCCTTGTGATAATTTTAAGTTACTGTTTTCAAATACTAAAATAAAACAGAATTTTTAAGAAAATATTATAAACTCACAAAGGACAGACACAATGTCTTATACTTAGCACAGATCAAAGTATCTGACAAAGAACTTGGCAAACAGAGGTACTTAAGTATTTATAGAATGAATAAAATGACTCTTTCCTGAATGCACATCTTGTCTCAGGTCTCTTACATAGGGAGAGGTGCTCTGTTACTATGAGAAGTGCAGCCAGAAGGCATGATAACCACTCAATAGAACAGACACAATAGTTGCAGGTCTAGGAATACAGCTGAAACTCTTCTGCTACTCACAGTAGTTGGATGGCAGTGGTTTTTCAAGTACTTGATGAATAGAGGTGGGAAATGATGATCAATAAATATCCTTCCCAGCTATTACATAAGATATATCCCCTTCCAAATAGTATAGGGCCAACCATGAATCTGAATCAATCTCACCTGTGATCCTGCTAAAGGAAAAGTAATTCCTTCTTCTTTCATAGATTTAATAGTTGCAGATATAAGACTAAACTGAGGGTCCTTTTGAAATTCTTCTGACCACTCTACCATCAAAGATTTCAGTTTTTCACATACTTTTGGGTGAGCCTTTTAAAGACAAAAGGAAAAAATTAAAATCAGTTGTTAAAATAAGTTTTAAATTTATTTAACAAAGAGAATTACCACCAACATTCTCTACAATTTAATGAACATCAACAAAAGTTGATCCCTAACTCAGCTGAGGAAATGATAGTATTTGTATGTTAAAATATAACTGCTTCACATAAAATCACTTTCTTTTTTTTTAAACAGGCAGCGTGGACAGTGAGAGAGACAGAGAGAAAGGTCTTCCTTTTATGTTGGTTCACCCCACAATGGCCGCTGCAACCGGCGTGCTGCGACTGGTGCACTGCGCTGATCCAAAGCCAGGAGCCAGGAGTTAGGTGCTTCTCCAGGTCTCCCATGCGGGTGCAGGGCCCAAAGACTTGGGCCATCCTCCACTGTACTACCGGGTCACAGCAGAGAGCTGGACAGGAAGAGGAGTGACCGGGACAGAATCCGGTGCCCTGACCGGGACAAGAACCCAGTGTGCCGGTGCCACAGGCGGAGGATTAGCCTATTGAGCCGTAGCGCCAGCCAAAATCACCTTTTTGAACATCAATTTTTAAGTCTGACTATACTGGAAACAAATCTTTAATATTCAGAGGTTATTTCCTTTAAATTTTCTTAATATTCTAAGTAATAGATTTTTACATCAATTAGAATAAATCTGAGGATTTCTGCACGTCATAGCATATGAAAAGTACTTGAGAGTTTCACTGTAAAATAAAGGCCCCTTTGCTCAGCAACTGTAACTGGAATCAGCACAGAATAGTGGCTAGTGCTTAAAGTCTGGAATCACAGAACCCTAGATAGGAATCTCAGCTGTACTACTTACTGGCTGCATGATCCAGGACAAATTTCTCTCTAAGCCCCTATCTCTGCATCTATGAAACAGCAACAAGACAACTTCCAAGGCTGGTTAACTGCATTCGACAGCATGTGTAAAATCCTTAAAGCAGTAACTGCTTACTAAACCCCAATAAAGATTAGTTGTATCCAATAGTTACATATGCTTTGGGGAGAAAATTTTTTAAAACTCAAATTTGAAATAAATTTATTATGGGGCTGGCGCAGTGGCAGGTAAAGCTGCCTCCTGCAGTGCCAGCATTCCATATGGGCACCAGTTCAAGCCCTAGCTGCTCCACTTCAATCCAGCTCTCTGCTATGGCCTAGGCAGGCAGTATAAGATGGCCCAAGTCCTTGGGCCCCTGCACCGGCATGGGAGACCTGAAGGAAGCTCCTGGCTCCTGATCACCGCAACTCGAGCTGTTACAGCCAATTGGGGAGTGAACCAGCAAATTGAAGACTCTCTCACTCTTTCTCTCTCTCTGCCGTTCCTTTTCTTTCTGTGTAGTTCTGACTTTCAAGTAAATAAATAAATCTTTTAAAAAAATAAGTTTACTTCATTTAAATTTATCTAAAAATTATTTCAATTACAATAACTAAGATATATAATTAAGTGAGACATAATAGTTATTTTTAAATGATTTAAATATCTGCTCATTTAAAAATTTACCTTATTTTTTATCACAGCACGTACTTCTGTTGCAAAATCACGGGAACATACTTCTAGGTGAAATATCTTTCCACAGTTTGCCACACAAGCCCCAAGAAGCTATTAATTAAAATTAAAATTAATATACAAATGTTGAAATATCTTACTTAACTCACTGAAATAAATGCACATTTAAAATTTGAGTCAAATAGCAATGTGACTTTTACTCACAGTTAACGCCTGCAGAGCAACGTGAGGAACCTTATGATTTACTCTTTTCATTATGGCTTTCAGGCAATCTTTTGCTCTACAAAGAAATGGAGAAAGTTATCACTGAGAATTTCAATTTAAACATTAAAAATATAAGGTCTTTCATTACCAAACAGCCTTAAATTTAAAGGTAAAGTCCTTGAAACTTCACTTGTTTAAAGAAATAAATCTATAAAATTGCTTTACACAATCTTTTGTCCAGATATTCAATCATAAAAAAAAATTGCTGTAAATGTTGCACATTCCAAAATCAAAAGATCAGTGATTTCACAAAAGGCCAGCTAACACATGAGAATTACAGCATATAAACCAAGTTTTCATTTCTTCAACAGACTCAGCTTTCAGAGAGCAAATTTTTTTCTTGGGGAAAAAAATCAGAAAGATATGAGGGTACTTCAAAAAGCTCATGGAAAATAGAATGAAAATTAAATTCCTTTGGTGCATAAATTTTTAAATTGACACATACTAGTATATGGTTTTAAAAGGTTCAAGTATAAAACATGACCGTGCTATGGAACAGCTGAAATGATAAAGTGGTAGACACGATGCAGTGGGTTAACCTGCCATTTGGAATGCCTGCATCCTATACTGGAGTGTCAGTTACTCTGCGCTGCTGACCAGCTTGCTGCCAATATGTACCCTGGAAGGCAGTGGATTACGGCCCAAGTACTTAGGTTCTTGCTCCCATGTGAGAGACCCAGATGGGGTTCCTGGCTCCCAGCTTCAGCCTGGCCTACTAGTACCTGTTGTGAGCATTTGGAGACTGAACCAGTAGATTGAGCCATGTGCTGTCTTTCCTTCTCTGTCTTACAAATAAATAAATAAATCTTTAAACAAACTAACCAACCCAAATGCTTTTATCATTCTTCTAAAGTATAATCCATTCAGCTTAACTGTTGCATTCTCTTTTTTTCCACTGTTACCTATTATACTTACCTATCCATTATTGAAAAGCTTTCTCATCATATGTATTACCTATTGTATTATTATATTTATCTACTTCAATATCAAAAGCCTCTCACACATGTCTAAGTCAGAGGAAAATTCTCCAAATAATTAATCTAGTCAGTATTAACACATGTTCGTGTTGTATCAAGGCTTTAAGTATCTAATATAGCTCAGATTTTCAAATGAACTCTTCCATTTTTTATTTCAGAGTAAAAGTAATGTAAAAAAATCTGGCCTCCAGGCTTTCTTAACTTTTATCTCCAAAGTTCAATAGTAAAACCCCATTTTCCTTTCCAAGTAGCATCACTAAAATGACACAGATTTATCAAACTCCTAGACATTTACTGGCATGACTGCACATCTTACCCATTAGGAGTGCTTCCAACTTTGTCACATATGTCCATAATAAGACTCCAATCTTCTGTGGTGTTGTACTCATTCGTGGCTTTTTCTATAAGATACAAAGTCAGATGCAAAAATTAGAGCAAAAATTACATAACGCAGTTACAAAGCCCTATCTTTTCCCTTCCCAGAGATAAAAGAACTATGGATGTACTTGAACACACAGAATATTCTGGCAATTTCAAATTATATAATTACATGTTCTTGGATTAGTCAACTTAAAATGCTGGAGGGGAGGAGGGCATTGTGGCGCAGCAGGTTAAGCCACCGCCTGCCAACCAGCATCACAAATGAGCACTAATTTAATTCCTGGCTGCTCCACTTTGTCCAGCTTCCTGCTAAGGCAACTAGGAAATCAGGGGAAGATGGCCACAGTGCTTAGGCCCCTACAACCCATATGGGGGATATGAATGGAGTTCTGGGCTCCTGGCTTCTGTCTGATCCAGCTCTGGCCATTGTGGATGTTTGGAGAAGAAAACAACAGATGGAAGATATGTGTGTGTGTGTGTGTGTGTGTCTCCTGCTCTGTCTCCCTCTTCCTCTCTCTGCCTTTCAAACAAATAAAATCTTTAAAAAATAATAATTAAAAACATCCAAACTATTAAATTAAAAACTCCACCAAATTCTAGTTTGGAAAAAACCTTAAAAACGTCCTTTGTTTCACAAAGGAAACAGCATTAAACTGTTTAGTGAAGCACCATTTTTAACAGCAAAAAGGAAAACTGGTTTCAAGAAAGTCATACACTCTGGGGCTACTGTGTAGACCCAGGGGAAACTCCTAGATCCTGGCTTCAGATCGGCACAGCTCCAGCCCTTGTGGCCAATTGGAGAGTGGACCTCTCCCCCTCCCCCTCCCCCTCCCTCTCCCTCTCAATGTACAAAAAAGGAAGGAAGAGATTCCAAGATGGCAGAATAGGGAAAGGACATACTGCTTTAGGCTAGGGGGAAATAGTAGCAAAAAATTAGGAAGTGAATTCCCAGGGGAGACTAGCAGCGAAATCTGCAGTGGAAATTCTACAGGAGGAAGAGGGATGCTGTAGATCAGCATGGAAGGTGCGGACATGCAGGATCGAGTGCGGACACAACACACAATCCCCACAGCCAAGAGCCAGAGGAAGCACCAGCTTTGGAGGGTGAGGTGACAGCAGCCTGTGCCACTGGTGATAGTGCTGGAGGGAGAACCTGGCAGAGCACAATGTCTTTGATTCTGGCCTCCTGGAGCCCTAAGGGGAACAAGGTACCCATCTAACCCCGTGAAAAACGGGAACATTCTCTTTTCCCATTGCCCCACAACGGATCCCAGCAACCAGGCGGGAAAGGGCGTCATTTTGACATCTGTAGCAGCTGTGATGGCTCTTGTGTGAGCCAGGCAACTGGTAGGGAGAAGCTGCCATTCTGACACGAAGCAGCTGCAGTGGCTCTTGTGCACGCACCTGGCAACTGGCAGGGAGATGGAGCCATTTTGACATAAGTAGCAGCTGTGGAGGCTCCTGTGCACGTGGGTGATGCTGGGATTTTACCACAGGGAAAAATCCATGTTCCCCATTGACTTTGAGTCTGGCTGGTAAGACTGACAGGAGACTGGGCACCCATACAGGACACTGAGGTGCCCATAGCCTCTCAACACATCACAGGCTCCGGAATTCAAACAGCCAAGGCAGAGCACCCACAGGAAGTTGGCTCTGGGAATGTCTTTGCCTCTCTGTGGATGGGACAAGCTAGCAGGGCAGAGTGGATCCTCTGAACCCAACAGTGTGGGAGCCTTGTGTGCTGAAACTGTGGGAATTCGGTGACTGCATTGTAGGAAGTAAGGTGTAGCTAGGTCTCTGGGCAATCACTGTGTGAGGCCCTACAAACTAAAAGCTCCCTGACTGCCTGATGTGGGGCATTGTAGCGAGATCCAGGGATCCTAGGATTGCACAGATCCATTCTGCAGTTCATGAGTGCTGCACCCACTGTAGGTTAAGCCAGGGCATTGATCACCTTGGAAGAGAGGCGGTAAGAGTGTGATTACGCCAATATTTGTGATCATACCCTCTCTCCTGCTGACAATAAAGATCCACCATGCCCAATGTGGGTGTTAACCCTGAATACTTGCCTCACCGTGCAGCACTGATTTGAGCTCCTTAGCCACACCAAGCACATGCCTGTGGGTATTCACTGAAAGAGCACACACACTACTAAGCCACAAAGGCATAATTCAAAGATAAAAGCCAACAGAGTAGAAAACCAATTATTAGTCGGTGCCGCAGCTCACTAGGCTAATCCTCCACCTTGCGGCGCTGGCACACCAGGTTCTAGTCCTGGTCGGGACGCCGGATTCTGTCCCAGTTGCCCCTCTTCCAGGCCAGCTCTCTGCTGTGGCCAGGGAGTGTAGTGGAGGATGGCCCAAGTGCTTGGGCCCTGCACCCCATGGGAGACCAGGATCAGCACCTGGCTCCTGCCTTCGGATCAGCACGGTGCGCTGGCCGCAGCATGCCGGCCGTGGCGGTCATTGGAGGGTGAACCAACGGCAAAAGGAAGACCTTTCTCTCTGTCTCTCTCTCTCACTGTCCACTCTGCCTGTCCAAAAAAAAAAAAAAAAAAAAAATCAGAGATGAAAAAAAAATGACCATGGATATCACAGAAATAAAAAGAACCATCAGGAATGACTACAAAGAGCTGTATGCCCAAAATTGGAAAATACAGAAGAAATGGATAGATTCCTGGACACTATAATATAAAAATTGAGTCATGAAGACACAGAAAACCTAAACAGACCAATAACCAAAATGGAGACTGATTCGGTAATAAAGAACCTCCCAACAAAGAAAAGCTCAAGAGCGGATGGCTTCACTGATAAATTCTACCAGACTTTTAAAGAACTAATTCCAATTCTTCTCAAGCTATTCAAAATAATTGAAAGGGACAAATCCTCCCAAATACCTTCTACAAGGCCAGCATCACCTTAATTCCTAAATCAAAAAAGACAGAAAAAAAATTATAGACCAATATCCCCAATGAACATAGATGCAAAAATTCTCAACAAAATGCTAGCTAATCAAATCCAACAACACATCAGAAAAATCATTCACACAGACCAAGTGGGATTTATCCCTGGCATGCAGGGATGGTTCATTGGTCACAAATCAATAAATGTCATACATCTCAATAGATGCAGAGAAAGCATTTGAAAAAAACAGAACTTCCTGAGGTCAGCACTGTCGTGCAGCGGCTCAACACCCTGGCCTGAAGCACCGGCATCCCATGTTGGGAGGTTCCTATCCACCTTTCTGCTGTGGCCTGGGAAAGCAGTAGAAGATGGCCCAAGTCCTTTTGCCCCTGCACCCAAGAGGGAAACCCAGAAGAAGCTCCTGGCTCCTGGCTTCAGATTGGTGCAGCTCCAACTGTTGTGGCCAATTGGGCAGTGAACCATCGGATGGAAGACCTTTTTCTCTCTCTGCCTCTCCTCTCTATGTAATTCTGCCTTTCAAATAAATATATAAACCTATAAAAAAAAAATAGAACTCCCTTTCATGATGAAAGATCAAAACCTTAAGCAAATTGGGTGTAGAAGGAACATTCCTCAACACAATCAAGACAATTTGTGACAAACGCAGTTAGCATCTTATTGAAGAGGGAAAAGTTGGAAGTATTACCACTAAGCTCTGGAAACAGAAAAGGATGTCCACTTTCATCAATGCTATTCAATACAGTCCTGTAAGTTTTAGCCAGAGGCATTGACAAAAAAAAAAAAATAAATCAAAGAGATACAAATTGGAAAGGAGGAAGTCAAATTATCCCTATTTGCAGATGCCATGATTCTATATATAGGGGAACCAAAAGACTCCAATGAGAGACTACTGGAACTTATAAAAGACTTTGGTGAAGTGGCAGGATGTAAAATTAACACACAAATATCAACAGCTTTTGTATACAAAGACAACGCAATGGCTAAGAAAGAATTCTATAATCAATCCCATTCACAATGGCTACAGAAAAAATTAAATACCTTAGAATACATTTAATCAAGGAGGTGAAAGATCTCTATGATGAAAATTACAAAACATTAAAGAAAGAAATAGAAGATGACATAAAAAATGGAAAAATCTTCCATGTTTGTGGATTGGAACAATCATCATCATCAAAATGTCCATACTATCAAAAGCAATTTTCATATTCAATGTGGTCCCAATCAACTTACCAACTACATTATTCTCAGATCTAGAAAAAACAATGCTAAAATTCAGATGGAAACACAAGAGGCACCAAATAACTAAAACAATCTTATACAACAAAACCAAAGCAAGAGGCATCACAATACCACATTTCAAGAAAAACTACAGGATAGTTAATATTCAAAGTAGGTACTGGCACAAAAATAGACATGTAGACCAAGAGAGTAGAACAGAAAAACCAAAAATCAATCCATGCATATACAACCAAGTAATATTTGACAAAGGAGCTTAAAATCATTCTCTGGAGAAAGAATAGTCTCTTCAACAAATGGTACTGAGAAAATTCCCTAACTTATACAAAAATTAACTCTAAATGAATCAAGGATCTAAATCTATAACCTGAAATTAAATTACTAGAAGAGAGCATTGGAGAAACTCTGCAAGACACTGACACAGGCAAAGACTTCTTGGAAAAGACCCCAGAAGCACAGGCAATCAAAGCCAAAATTGACAAATGGAACATCAAACTAAGAAGCTTCTATACTGCAAAGGGAACACTCAGCAAAATGAAGAGGCAACAAACAGAATGGGAGAAAATAGTTGCAAACTATGCAACTGATAAAGGATTTATATCCAGAATCTATAAGGAACTCAAGAAATTCAACAAAAAAAAAAAACAAACAAACAATGCAGTTAAGACACGGGCAAAGGACTTGAACAGGTATTTTTCAAAAGAGGAAATGCATATGGCCAACAGATACATGCAAAAATACTCAGGATCACTAGCTGTCAGGGAAACAGAAATCAAAACCACAATGAGATTTCACCTCACTCCAGTTAGAGTGGCTCTCATATAGAAATTGACAAACAATAAATGCTGGCAAGGACATTG